AAGGCAAAGCCAACGGATTGATCAGATGGCTACACAATCCGGAGAGGTGTTCGTAAAACATATTAGTAGCATCATAGTTTCTTTCAGTCGAACACGGCGATAAATAAAAGTTGTGGTATAGTATGGTTAGGGATGTTTATGAGTTTCTATTGCAGAGACGTCAACATCGAGTTCAGCAATCATGACAATATGTACTCCGTTCAAGTCCGAGCAGTATACTATGCTATTATCAGTGTAAGTTAAGATCACGCTAGAGAATATAGTCCCATTTTTAGCTCTCCTTACTTTGTTTCGTTGTGGTTTGATTTGCATAATCGGATTTTTACTAAGAAATCGTTCAGTGTCTAATAGCCGGAGATTGAAAGTATAAGTGATTCCAACTGACGACAGAAGAGGTTTTTGGTACCATTTCTATAGTGGCTACACTGAGCAATTTTTCTGAGCATACTTTTGAACTCAAATAGCCATCAAAATGAGTAGAATAATCGCCGATGATACCAAGAAAAAGAGTGTCTTCCGTCTGAGTGGCCCATTATAACAACTTGGTCCGGTATCATCCAACTCCATTCGATCATGAAAAGGAGTTCTAAAATTGTTTGGACTTTTCAGGCAATGTTTCATCGCGCTTCACATGCAATAATCTATTCAACGAATGAGATTGTAGTGAAGGTTGGTAATGGTATCTATAACCCGAAAAAGGAACTCAAGATGTTCCAAAAAATAAGAAAAAGAACGTCAATGACTGAGGAAGATCGTGGCACACGGGTTCGTCTCGAGATGATATTTTGTTCTGTTTTTTTTTTCTTTCACTATCTGTCATTTCCAGGTCAAGCTGCATGTACTCGACGACGAAGCCTTGGAAACTTTGGGATTATCACTTGAAAATGCCACAAGCCGTGAGAACGTTCCAGTTTGTTCCGAGGGAGATTTTCGGGAACGACATTCCAGCGAAGTTATCTGTATATAATAAAAAAAATTTCTGATGTAAAATAAATAAAATTTTTTACAATCCTTTGTAGTCTTCGAACAAATGTGATCCACTCTGAAATATCCCTACCATCATCATTAAAAGGTTGAAACTTCTACATACGTGCTATGTGGTAAAGTTGTAAAATTTTGAAATGAGCTTGGTATTTCGAACAAACACAATAGACTTGGTATCCATGCTGAATGTGTTTCACCTGTGCCATTTCTGCGAAGTACTAATGTGCACTGCATTTTTTAGGGTCTTACCTCAGTTAAAAGTTGATGAAAAGAACACTCCCACTGTTTCAAGCGCTGTTGCGACCCACTTCTCGTTCGCTAATTTGGGTAGAATGCTGTACTAGTAGCTCGACGGCAACATCAGCTGAACCGTAAGTTTTCCCTCGATTATTCATTCCAAGAGCGAAATGCAAAAGGTGTTCTTATATCCGGAGATTCTCATGTTTTCACCCGGAAATACTGAAGCTTAATGAGACTTTTCTTGTTTGGATGGACATTAGTTTATGGATTTGTTGAGCAAACCTGCTCCCGTTTGTCAGAGATCAAAAAAAAACCTTC